TGTGATCTGTGCTCATTTCCGTCCACGGCCTTAAAGACACATTCCGCGAGTTCAAGCGTGGATGGTAACATTCCAGTCAGTATTCGTAGGAGTCAACTCATTTAGCCCTCCCCCCAAATTTGAGCTTGGTTAATTTACAACAGAGCATTTTAATTCCATGAAGAGAGACGCAGAGACACTCAGCGCCTAGGCGAGAGATCAGAAACCAATCAGTGAGAGACCACACGACCCCACTACCCATGATGCTATTCGAGTAGTAGCATCTATGTGGAGCCAGACTGGAAAAGGAGCTGCCAGACCCAAATTACATCCCCTGGCCCTCTTTCCACGGCTTTTCCAGTGGGTGAGGGACACACTCTCTGCGGGTGCGGGTCTGCGCATCCTATCCAGGTAAGGGACTCTACCTACACAAAAATCGTGCAAAGCTTCTATATGGGAGATGTTCAGGGACGTATCTGCAGGACCGTTTAACCACAACAGAGAAAACGGTGAGATCCACCTTCCAGGATTGAGAGCTAAAAGCAGCCTGCGCAAAATCACGTCACAGTTTCAGGTGATCCAATGAGAATCCAGGGCCGTCAATTCGAAACTATCGTGGGCGCCGACAAGGAGAGACAAAAATAAAAAGAAAACTGAATAAAAAGAAAAGCCTACGAATTGAAAAAATCTAAAGCAGTGAAGGGATCGAAACTGACAGGAAACAATTGAAAATCAAATAAAAAGGTTAGAAAAAGTGAAACTTACCCTGAAAAATGGAATAGCGTAAACTTATTTGTACGTGCTTGGCCAGGTATCGTTCCTTTTTTAGGATTTTCTCAACAGATTATTTTGATCTTTTTCTATTTACAACCTCTGTGAGGAGGCTGCTTCAAGTTTCCTTACCTCCAACTTCCCTCATATTTTCTGTGATGGGTCCTTCATGAGGACTGAAAGTTCTCTGGTTTAATCCTCATTTGGTCACAGAATTATTCAAAAGACGTCACAAAGGGAAAAATGTTTGAGCACATGTGATGCACTTCATTAACGATTTTTTTACGAGCAATATGACAATGTGCCCTCCCACGGCCTCTTCGCCGTTCCACTCCCTTTGATGAAATGAAACCCTTGAGACCATGTACTAATTGAAGGTGGAAAAAAATTTCAAGAGGAGTGGGTGGACGAGCTTCCCGATCCCTTATTGAGAGGGTCTCCCACGGGAAATGGGCGGAGGTAGTGTAGCGATAAGTGGCAATATTCACTATTCTTAGGACGGACCAAATGAACCATAAGTCCGGCCAATCATACCTTTCATTCTTCTGAGGTCGTTTAGGAGGTGCTAGCTCTGCCCTCTGCCCCGTGCCACCACGATTCCAGTGCCGCTAAGAAAGAGGTGTCAGAAGACACCCTCCGCCCGATTCTTTCCGGTACAAACCCCTCCACCATCCTACCGACTTTTCTAGTTCTTTCTGTTCTCTGAGAAACAGCCGACGAGGTCGGGGGGGGGGTGGAGAATGTCCATCAAACAATCACTAATTTCAGCCATTGAATACGGTAGCTGTAGGACCCCGAATGGACACACGGAAAACCTTAAGAAGTCAACAACTGAAAAGTCTTTTTTTCGGGGAGAATTTTCTCTTGGGAGAATATTCTGTTTCCTCCATGTACTCAATCCTACCTTTACAAGGCCAAGTACAATCCCCACCCCTCTTTCCCCACCCACACCCTGATGGGATTGTCCCAGGGTATGCCATACCCTATTTTCGAACAAATCCGAATTCGCGTCAATAAGACCAATGGTTGTTATTAAAGACTAAAAATAAAATTCGAAGTGATGTGTAACGAAAACTCCCTCTGGGATAAGCCTTGCTTACGTCTTTCATTTGGAGCCTGCTAATCCACGTGTATCCGGCTAGCCCCATGTCAATCACGTGGGAATAAGCCATGAAGTGAGTAGGAGTCTCCAGTTCCTCCCTCACCCTCCTGTGTGATCAATGAAAAGCTGAATTTACTCGTTTGGATGCATGAATTTGCTCATATTCTCCACCCCCGCTACTCTACAGACCTTCGAGGCCAAGATGGTTTAGGGGGGAGGAACTAGATCTATCGATGAAGAGGTGGGGGCGTACTCAAAAAATCACCGCGATAATGCGTCCTGCTGCTGACTCATCGTACCCAAGAAAGGGGAGGAATGCTTGGGAGGACTAAAGGGGTTTAGAACCCCAAAGAGGACCCGTTGCCTGTTAGTCACCCTTACGTCAGCACCATATGAATCCTCCCTTATCTCTGTGAAAGCGTAAGCAATAAAGCAAACTGATGAATCGCAGGGCACTGATTAATCTCCTTTCTCCGCGACCCGCCCTTTTACGGAATCACAAAGGGTTTTTGAATTGTTTTGCTTGGACAAAAATGGGCCAAAAAACTCCAGATGGGCCAGAAACGACAACTCATAGCCATATCAGAGTTGACACTGGATCTATATGTGGGATAGAGGGCAAGACGACATGGGAGCTAACGCGTTTGGGAGGGGGGGGGAATCGGACCACTCACCAGATCCTACGTATCCCTTCATCTAATCATGGTTCAGGCTTAGTGAAAGTCTTCTCTGCGGGCCTATCTATTGGCGACTCTGGTCATCTCTGAGAACCTAACCCCTTTTAAGGAAGGGATACCGAGGCACGGGTAGTTAGTTACCCCCCCCCCTCCCCCACCGCAACTAGTTTAGCGCCTCAACATGAAAGCACGTGTGAGAGGAAGTTTATGAGAGCCAGGCTATAAGACGGCACGTGAGGAATGGTTACTGGACAGGGTACACCATTGTTGTGTGAGACACATATGGTGGTCCTACTCTTCCTCTGGGGAGGGGGGTCGTTGAAACATTTTTCCCGGTTGTGATTTTTCCTGTTTCATGCGTACTGTATGCCTCCACCCCCTCCCGCTCGACGGAAAATCTTCGGGTGGAAAGACTGAAAAATGCGGGAAATTAGTAGATAGGTGTTGAGGAAGGGGGGTCGTACCGAGACCCCCATTAAGGTGGGAGAGGGTGTACTGACTTCCTTTCTGAGGAGGGGGGGGGTCGTACCTACACCAATATCTCACACACCATGATGCTGTACCCTGTTACTGGATGCTCTAACAGCTAAAAGAGGGAGAAAGAGGCTCCAAAGGCCTCAGATATGCCCCCCCCCCCTCCTATGTCATATATAGTAAAAACCTGTAAAGAGGGTTTGAGCAGTTTATCAACAACTATTTACAAAACAATAAACCGGTTGAAAGATATCAACAATCAGCAGTGGTGGTTACAGCACGACTCCGTGGTGTGTGTGAATCTGTACTGATGTTGAGAACTAGAGCAGAAGACACACACAAAACTCCAAATAACACGAGAAATTGCACTATCGCAGAGAGCTAAGACGGAAAAAGGAAGAAAATCGTAGTTGCAAACCCTGTGCTGAAGGCTGAACTCGTGCGAAAGAGTTCTACCGTAAGCATTGGGTAAGCGAAATCCCGTGACTGTATGGTTTGAACCCTAATAGTAATCGCCATAGAGAAGGCATATAACCCGTAATTGACCGTATGCTCTCCAGTGCTGGGGTATGTAAGACAAATAAGATATCATATATAACATATATAGAGTGAGGATGTGATGAAGTACTAGAGAACCGTTTTCTGAATGCAGAAAGTTGCCCACAAATAATGAACTAGTCATGAGAATAACTAGTAATGAGATAATAGTGTTGTGAAGATAGTCCACATACTCATCAAATATAGCAATCATTAAGTACAGCAATAGCTCTGCTCCGTTGGTTCAGATGGCCGAGCGAAAGCCATACGATGAGTAGGGTTAGCAAACGGCTTCAGTGATCTCGATAAGAGGTTCGAGTACGGGCTGGAACTTGGGTCGAATGCCAGAGACTCTTCGTTCTCGCGGCTCGTCACTTTGCCGCTCGGTATCGTGGTCCGTTGGACTCTGAATACGGACCAATTTGGATCTGGGTATCTCATAGGGGATAGCCGGATAGCCCGGGTGGGAATAAGTAGAGCCATAACTTACCACTGGTCGAGGCTTGATAGCTATTGAGAGATAGACGTCTGGAAGAAGGCATTCTGGTTGAGCTTCGTCACGTACCAAACGTACACTACCGGAATTTTCCTTGACATTCTGAAACCAGCAACTTTCATGTTAATTATCCTATGGATTGGGAGGGTGGAAAGGGGGGGGGGTAACGCGATAATCTTGGATTCCTCGACTGGCAGCTGAAGGCAGGGCACCCGATTCCTCAGCTGTCCTCAACAAGAGGGGCAGAGAGGCGTTAAGGCCGCTAGGGAGATAACCCTACTTGTACTGTACTGAGGGAGTTTATAAAAGCCAATGGGTGCGAAAGTGGGGAAGGGAAGGTGGGGGACGAGTTACTGAGTTTAGTTAGGGGGGTGCTAGTGCTAGAGGAGGCAGTGGAGGGGAAGTTGTATTGAGAACGACCATTTTCGTCATCTCCATGGCATATCCTGAATTAGGAAGCGATTCGGTGTAGGCGAAATCCCCAGAGAAACGATGGGCCCCCAATTCATTCTCATTCTTTGTGCGCCATGTATTCGACTTCTTTTTGTGCCGCAGACGTGTTTGGATGCATAATCGGCATTTACAATGGGAAAAGTACCCAGCTCAGATTAAATTGTGAAGTTAAGGGGACCAATGATCGGCAAACTTGAGCGCTCGTTGCCCCGAGTGAACAATTTGTCCAAACACTTTTGCGATCACATGAGAGAAGAGCGTACCCATTGAAAAAGATTGATGAACTCCAGCCTGAACTTTCATTGAAAAATGAGAGCAAGGCGGTTTAGTGACAGAAACTGGCCAGAATAGAAAAATCCCCGGAAACCCTTGAAAACGTTCAATCATCGGGTTCTGTCCCCATGTCTTAATGAACACTAGTACACAAATAATCCTCATTGTGAACGAAACGGAAACGGCTCAAAGCACGGGACCCCCTGGCGGTGCCTTGGCAGCTGCCAGGCGAGGAAAACGGTTGGGGCAGCTGTGAGAATTTAATCCTAGCCAATATGAAAGCTAAAAGCGTGTGACTGACCTGCTCGAATGCGATCAGCTGTCGCCAAAAACCGAGATTCGGACGAACCATCGGTCGTTTTGATTTCATTAAATGATAAGCATCACGTAAACAACGGCACCTGAACGTTCGATGGTGCATTTTTGGGACGACAACGAGATAATACCGTAACCCTGTAAGGTCGAATTCTTACCTATATTTCGTCAAAAACGCCAAGCAGATCGATGCTGACCGTGACACACCGGCTACACAGTGCACAAGCACCCTACCTCCATCAGCGATGATGGCTTGGATCTAGGAAGTGGAGGTGTTGAGCCAAAATGGACCCCATGAGGGAGATTTTCAGCCTACCTGGTCACTTTGCAGCTCCAAATGGGGGTAGATATAGGTCTGTGGAGTGTCTTCAAGCCACAATTTCGTACGTTGAATATCACCAAGGCTACGTAGATTGGGCACTTCGGTGGTGGCATTGATAATGTGGGTGATTTTGTTCTTCTTGATATCCTCACTCGTTAACGAACTCACACCACATATGAACAGACCCGGTACGATTTCGCTCATCATAGCGTACTCCGGGTTCACACGGAATGAAATCGTCATTTCTAAAAAATACACCGATAACGTGACCGAAAGGGGCCATTCACATAAAATTCAACGATCACGATAGAAAAAGTGAAAGCCGTGAATAGTTCAGATAAACAGCAGAGAAAACCAGTAGATTCCAGGGACCATTAGTATAATTGGCTCGGAAGAGGGTTAACGAATGGTCAGGGTCAGGGATGAAGGACGGGGTAATTACTGCGGTCAAACAAACATGGAGGAAACAACGTTGTGGCGTTGGAGTTACGGTGAAGAGCATCTGGAATCCCGGGTTAGGTTAGGCAAACAAAGGCGTGCTCTGAACCCTGGCCTTATTTCCTGAGAACTCCTTGATTGCTTACCCAAACCTAACCCTAAACCGAACTTTAAAGGCCTAACGTTTCAGCTTCGGGAACAGGGTACATCAGCGTTGGGGATTCTCCATCAAGGGGAGGGTCGTATTTGGTCGCTGAGAGGGGTCGTGCTTTCCGCTTATCCCGCTTCACATGTGTTGTATACATCCCCCTCCACAGCTCGATGAAGATGTAACTGGGGAGGGGGGTCGTATTAAGCCACCCCCTGGGGGGAGTCGCACGGACTCGACCAAAATCCCCAACCATCTGTCTGGGAATTATGAGGCAGGTCGGCCAAACAGGAACGTCAGGACTCGTGGAAGATTGGGATTACCGTAATAGGCACCCGCCTTATTACACAAAGAATTGGGGTAATCCATCCCGGAGCTCCTTTCCTCTGAGGCCTTGGCAAAAATCTTCATCTTCCTTACGGCAGTCCCATTTTTCCAGAAGAAGTCCTATGAAAGCCCCCCCCCCCTTAGGCCACATGCACTGAACTAGGAGATGCTCCCCTCCCTCCCCCCCATCCAATTCTCCCGTCGACTAAGCCAAGCACGACTCCAGAAAGGAATAGACTCCTCCCTAACCCTCCCATGAGAAACCATCAGACCGGTCCAGACCTACCGGAACCGAATTCAGGAGGTGGTATAAAATTAACCAGATGGGCATCCCAGACCACCTAAGCAGGCCAAGGGCATCAACATCATGGGGTAATAAAAGCCTTATTTGTGACTCACTGACTAAAAATAGAATCTAGGATCACAAAAATAGAAGCAATTAAAAATAAATGGGCAGAGAGGTCATGGATCACTGCACCCTGTGAGCCCTAGACAGAAATAATTCAATGATTCTTAATATGACACTAAATGGAAGTGACAACTCTAGGACAAACCTGACCTTTATAAAGTATTTCAGTGGGACTTATCGGGGGAGGGCCCGTGGGGAGGCGGGAGTGTGGGAGAGGCAGTCATGCGTGTGTACATTTCCATACGACACGTGATTCTTTCCGTTTTGCCGTGGACTATCAGAGAGACACGACGACGTCGTTCGCCAAGGGATGGACCCAAGCGTACAAAAAGTATTAGTAAAGGTGTTCTGATAAGATCACTGTACTTGATTGATTAGGGTTGGCCGTGATGGTGTCGCGTCACAAAAAGCGTAGCCGTTTGATCATTTTCTAGAAAAAAAGGGGCAACAACCAGAACGTGGACTTCTAGGGCGGCACGTAGTCGCATGGGAAAAAAAACGTAAATGTGCTATGTATTCGGCGACTACAAAGAACGATCACACGAGGGTTTCAAAGCGCAAATATGGTAAGCCGCATTTGGGGTATAAATACCGACCGATTAAGTCACGCGATGGAAGTACGGATTCTGAGTGATGCACTAGGGATTGTAAGCGATTATCCTCAGGTTGGTCCTATTGTTTTATTCTTATTGTAATCCTTCGACCTCCTCGTGACTCAACATCTTCCATTCCTATCCCCTATTTCTCCTTACGTCAGCCAGGTCCCAGGAAAGTCGTAATCTCCCTGGATTATGTTAAAAATGGAACCAGTCCTGGATGGAAATGGTACGAAAATCAGCTCAATGGGCTAGAAAAACATCAGAGAAAAGCGTGATGAACCGCCTCGGCACGGATCAATCAGATTGGTATACGCCATGCCTCTTACTGCCAGTAAGGATCGTGGACATGATTGAACGGAACTAACCTGGAAGTGGCACGTGCAATCTTCTTCCACGTTCTATGACTTGATTGTGAGGGCTGCCAGAAAGCCCCACAGGAAGGAATTGGGAAATGTGACTTCGAACGTGGGACCGCTAACGGCGAAATCCCGGAAGTACTGTCATTCAGAATCGCAGGGCCAAAAGCATACCCACATGGGCCTCACAATCGGACGGGCATTCGAGATGTATGTTAGTAACATTCAGGACAACTACGCTCAGGGCACGTCCTGCCATTGGGGAGAACGTTCGCAATACGACCCCCTCCTTGGAACATATTCCTCTCCCCCATCTACATTCCAAATCCTACCTACCCTACCGCGATTCCTGAGATATTCCAAACCCTATCACTTTTCCGGGGAAGCCGTCCATTTTCCCTAAAAAAGAACAGCCGTCCAGAGTGGGGAGGGACCGGGACGGAAAAGGCTATATATAGCTCAACTGAAACAGGAAATAAGAGAAAGTAAACAACTTCCCAAAGGCGGTAAACACTTCCCTCCCTCTAGCGATCACATACCACCCCTTCTCCTCCCCCTTCACCCCACCTCGGTAGGATTCTCTTCCGCACGCACCCTCGCCCCCGTGCCCTCACTACACTACCAGGAGTTGTCCCCGGACAAGTACCCGGCTCATTTTCCCCACTCCGGGTTCGATTCCGTAATTGCACTAAGAGAAAATGGTGTTTTAATTACCGTCGCAACTCTTCCCTTGCGGCAAAACAACAAAAGAGCGGAAATCGAAGCCGGGAACACCGGAAAAAAGAGCTGATTCGTTTCCTTGCAATTGCGCCGCCGCAAACTGCCGGTAAACCGTCGAATTACTGGTGAAAAAACGAACAGCGCGCAGTTAATTTGCGACGACTCGTAAATGACGAATGACTGAATGTACGAAAAGGAGGAAAAACACGAAGAAAATATTGCACTGGGTGGAGAACGGGGGAGTGCAGAGGGGTCGCTCCGCCCCGCAGGAAACACCATAATATTTGCCCAGAGGCTTTCCTTTCCCCACAAAACATAAAAAATCTGCTAGGGCAGAGCTCTGGGTGACCATGTGGGGGGGGGTGGGGAACTCCCAAAGCCCTTTCAAGCGGGGTTTGCATAGACAACTTGGACAGGTCTGTAGTAAAACCCCTCAGATAATGAACATCGATGTTTCAAAACGTGTTCCTTTTGTTTTCGACGGTCTCGTCCGGGACTGCGTCGTTATTACCGTAGGAAATGCGACCATAAAACGAGAAAAACAGTGTCTGGAGTACAGATTAAAAATCAGATAGACGAGTTCAACCAGTGGCGTACCGACAGGTGCTCGTCATCGGGGAGAATCCCCCAGAACCGATTTGGGAAGGCAAAGAGAGCAGGTAGGAAAAAGGGAGGCTATAGCCTGGAAACTTCCCCTGAAGGAATGGAAAACCCTCAGGAACAGGCCCCACTTCATAGCGCTTGATAGCGGCCGTGAAGGGACGTCCCGATTCGGAAAAGGCCAATTCCACGTGTTCGAAAACAGGATTGCCATTGATGGAGGTCGTTGCGATCGATTCGTATCGAAACGCCGCCACACAACTGCCTGTCGGGTGGGGCCTATTTTAGCGCCCATGCGCATCAGTAGCAGGCCCAGGAGGGCTGCATGGTATCTCTAGAGGGTCTACAGCAGTTGACAGTGTAGGCTGGACAGGAGAACGGACTCGAGCTTGCAGAGGCCGGCGAGCAACGCTCGTGGTGGCGGCACTGCACCGCCACTGAGTGGCGACGGGGAGGGCGCAGAGGCGGGGCCCCAGGCCGACAATGCATGCGGTTAGCACGTGAACGAGCAGCCGGCCGGATGAGGGTACTCAGAGTGACGGGGCAACAACACATAGAAAAAGCTGGCTGGAGTTCGGAAATCACATCAAACAGTATTAGTCACAGGTTGGGGTCAGGGTTGAGTCAGACAAACCAGGTACGGGGCAGGAAATATCATGAAGAGTAGGTGGGTGGATTGAGCCAGAAAAACTCAGCCGAACGTTCAGCACATTTGTGAGAGCTAGCTGAATGTCAGGGTTTTTGTACGACCTTGTCGGGCCGAAAAACACTCTCACGAACGCCCCCGTTTGGACCGGCAATCGTGGTGGTGGCGACCAAGTCAATAAAGCATGCCTAATCAATACTTATGACAAATAAGCATATGTTACCTTTTTCAGAAACGATCGATACTCTTTGTGGTAATGATGATACCCTTGAAGATTATAAGGGTGGCACAGCTGAAATCAATTAGCGCCGTCTTCATTGAAATGGAACGAATTGATTCAAGTGTTGCTTTGGAGAAAGCGCTCCGTCGTCTCTCAGCAATGCTTCGATTTCAACATTTTTCAAGATTTTATACAGCCATGGAAGGAGCCCATAGGAGGGGCTCTCTAAAAGGGGGCCATGTTCGGGTTGCTCGGGAATGAAATCGTGCTTGGCTTGCAAAGAAAGCATGCATTATCTCTTAAGGAACACGAGACGGTAATTCGAAACGGCAAAAAATAGACTAAAAAAACAAATATTTCAGAAGTTCGGAGGGGTCGAAGAGGTGGAGCCGGTGACCGTGGTGGCAGAATGAGGTCGGAGACCATGTAGAGAAGACAACGAGATTATTTCAGTTGGCAAGGGGTGCGGTAGAAGCTTTCTTTAAAGGAGTGGGTATAGAGTTCGAGGATAGAAGGTCTAGCTCTGAGCTCGCTGCGGAGTGCGGGAAGGGAGTTGGAAGCAAGGCAGCTATTTCGCTCTTGTGTTTCACTGGGCTCCAAAGCGGTCACTAACTGGTGTTTGTTTGGATTTTCGTTGCTTCGAACAGGACATGACGACCGATTTGCGTAAAGAGGACTTAGAAAAACCGAGCTGTGGCTGTATTACCTGCGTGTCTGTTGGGTTCGGGACAGTTCAACGATCACGGAGATGGACCATTTGGCTTTCGCATTTCTTGCAAG